TTGGTGTCTCTGATTGGGTTTAAACCCCGCCAGGGTCCCTGCGTGGCCACAGTTAAACAACTGACCAACCCTTAGAATTGATGCTATTCTGGTATGCTCGAAGTATGCGGAATATTATGCCGATAGGATCCTTACCCGTGTTCCCACTGAGTTGCAAACTACTCGCTCCCCACTTTACGGGCACTGGGCAGTTCATAGGTTTTAGGCATAACATCACTTTTCTCAGTCATTTTGATATGTCCTTGTAACCTTAATCTCTATCTATTTTCACCATGGCACTACTTTCAATATCGTAATCTTCCCTTTACTCCTCAATGCAGGTGGTCAACTTAAAGACAGCAAACAAACCCACTGCCTGGTTAATTTTTGCTTAAACTCAACTGATTTGAGCCCATTTTTGATATGATGAGCTGGTGGACAGTTTCTATTCTCAGTTCAAAGTGAATTATGAAGGCAAGATTTCTGTTTCATTCGCTTTTACTATCTATACTTTGATGATGTTTGAATCTTTACTGTTCGATCTCCCTCCCTCCCCCCGCCCTCGCCCACTATGGGGTTCTTTTGTTGCACACACATAGACCATTGATCTGGACCGATTCTATCCATTGACTCTGTTGGAAACCGGTCAGGATATCCTGTTTTTCTGGGTCGCTCGCATGGTTATGCTCGCACTTCAGCTAACTGGGTCACTTCCCTTTGGTCACGTATGTTCTTTTTTGTCAATATGCGTTTGTCAGATGTGGGACCGATAGAGAGAGGGAGAGATGTCACCTAACTCGTTACCTCCAGCGTATTAACCGCTTCTGAAATCTGAACTACTAAATTTTGTTCCCTAATTTGGACCGCTACTGGATCCGCTTCTGCATTAGCATAATTTTGATACTTTCATCAGTCATATACAAACCAGTGGCGTTTACTTTTTGGCTTATATTCACGAAAACTGTGAACTTCCGTAGCGTTCGTAATTCATACGACCAACCCAAGTTTTCTCTCTCTCTTATCAGTAATGCTAACCGAAACGAATTATCAGTGAGGTCATCGAACATCAGGTTTGAGGTCACATTATCGTGTTGAGTTTGCGCAAAATTCACTTGCGAGCACACTACGCATTGGAAAATTGATAAATGATCGGCGCGTGGCATTCGGTCAGTTGGCAAATAGGTTGCTTATCGCGAAAAACAGAAACAGTGACGGAGGGTGGGGGATTAATTATCGGGTTTTTGGTATTCGCCTTTTAGCAGCCACTCAATTACACGTTTTGCAGTTCTTCATCCCTCCTAACAGCCCTCCTCGACTATCTGTGCTCTTCTAAGTGAATAGGCGTATTGTAGCGAGGTACTACTGGCTTTTTATATGAGTACTGTCCTTTTTCGTGGACATTGAGACAGTCTTTGTTTCATTTGAATATCTCGGATCAGGAGGTGCTCCGGTTTCAAGTAAACAAGCCGGCGGATTGTTTGACCACTATTTCTGAGTCTTTCATGATTCTATTCCATGACAGATGCTTGGTTCTTTATTTCTCGACAGTTCGGTGCTACTGATCTGGAGGTTGTCTCTCAATCTTTTCACGGATTCAGTTCATTCGTGCTGATTGCTCGCATGCTGTTCTTCTTTCCCCAACTATGATAAGAACGTCGAATTAAAACCAAAATCAGATAGCACCCCTATAGCTTCCGAGAGTACCGTTTTTAATCCAGCTCTCATACAAAAGTGGCGAGCTTTGAAATCACACGAACAAACGACTGTTATGTGGCAAAGATAGTATCAATTCTAAATACATCTGTAGATGACAAGTTGCCTGCGCTGGCTGCATCTATCTTCTGGCACACCTTTTAATGCGTTGGTAACGCAATTTTCAATTCACCGCATGCAGAGGTAACTGTTCCAAAGGATTAAGGAGCACCCGTTGACTGAAACACAGTGCGGCCGGTGAATATCGGATTCGCTTATCGAGTCGTCTAACAAGTGCTCGCTCATCCCCCAAAGGCACTGCGGCTTTACGCATGTATTAGCATTTTTAACCACATCCGCGCATTTAACGTTCCCTTGTTGGACTGCATTTCTGTAACGAACCGAGGTCACCTAGTTGGTCACCTAGTTCTTGGTGTTGCTTAATGCACTCCCACTCAGGCGCACACTCCCCTAAAACTTCACTCTACATTTCATCACATAAAACACACCCGTCGTCCGGGTTACCTTGTATCCCTTGTTTGGTAAACCTATCTTAGAGACATCGTTGATTTTGTGCGTAACGTAGCGAGCAAGAGGTGATTTTCAGCGTTCCGTTATTCAACACGCATTTTAGCGTACTTTATCATCTATGCTGTTTTTACCGGTATTTCAAGCTGCGATATTTTGAATTTGTTATACAGGTAGAATTATTTAGAATAACCCTTTGGTTCCCTTTTTTATATATTACTCGTGTAATTTTAAACTTCTGCTAAACACAACCCATTCTTCGCTAGAATTCTGCCTGTGTAACAAGTTCAAAATCACACCAACCTGAGATACTGGCAGAATCGACAGAAATAATGAAAGTAATCAAAAAGATTCTCCAAGGTGAGCTGAAGTGGAAAATTGAAAAACTAAGTCTTGCTCACTAGTTCTTGCACAAGATCAACGACGACAAACAAAGCGAACAAGCGTTGTAACGAACCATCGACGACGGTTTCATTACGTGATCACC